ATCTTTCTTATCAACCAACATTATTTGTCAATATCAAAAAGGGAAAAATTGTTATAATCCAAGATCACTAGTCTGTAATTTTGACAATAATAAAACTTATTGATTGAATTGTTACTTTTCTCATTGAATATTTTAGATATTTCTTCTATCTGTGAGCACTAACATTGTTGGTAAAATATACACTTCTTAAGGCTATTGGAAGCTCAAGACTTGGTAGAATAAGAATGTCAAGTAAATAAAGTATGTACTTTTATTTTTCTTTATTTTATATTTTTTTAGTTTGGCTACATAAGAGTGTATATAATTAGGTAACCATGCACACATACACACATGGGGAGAAAGAAAAATTTTTAAAGTTAAAATTTCTTATATTAATCGTACTATATGACGTATAATCATACTATAGAATTAGTATAGAAAAAATGGGCTTAATGACAAAATAAATAATTAGTTCTATGAGTTAATCATACTGTACGATTTGGATTATATTATTCGATTCATTATGATCTAAAAACTCTAGCCACTAGATAAATTATGTAAGATATTATTTGATTTTGAAGTAATCGTACTGTACGATCTGATTCGTACTATAAGAAATTTTGAATCTTACTTAAACTAATCCCTATAATTAGTCAATTAAATTATGGTTTAATTAATTATAACATTTTATACTTTACATTAATGATTGTACCATACAATTGACAGAGATAAAATTTGTCATACCAAAGATCATACCAAATGAAACAATGATTTTTGAACAAATCGTATTGTACGATATTCATATCATACTGGATAACCTAGTTTAAATCAACTAACCATAGTGTACAATAATAGCGGTACGAGACGATTAATAGAAATGATTTTTAGTTATCCTAGGAATTGTCATATATGAATAGAGAGAAAGCTAACATATCATACTAAACAATCTTTGGATTGTATTAGACGATATTTTTGAAAAGTTAAACAGTTCATCTGAATAATTTTTTTTGAACTGATCATATTGTATGAACTTAAATCCTATTGTACGAACAGTGACAACTAACTTGAATTTTTTAGGGTTTCTTATAGCCCAAAACTTAAGCAAAGCTTTGAGAATCTCTTATTAACTAGGAGAGGATTTTGTGATTACTAATGTTATTCTGAGAGAGAAGCTTGTAAGAGAGATCCAGGTCTTGATAAGAAGGTGAGGTTTATCAAGAGGGAGAAGGAGTGTGAGGGGATCTCATTGTTGCTTCAGGCTAGCTATACTCTTGCTCCTCTTGTGGCTTTGGTGAGTTTTTTAAGGCTCTTTTGGGAGAGAGGCTTTTAAGTTAATTCCTAGAGGTACATTTCCTTCTCTAGGAGGGAGAAAAAGGATTTCAGGTTATCTGCCGGTTAAAGGATTCTAGTTCTCTGCCATCTCTAGGAGGGAGAAAAAGAATTATAGGTTCTCTACCTTCTCTAAGAGGGAGAAAAAGTATTCAAGATTTGATGCCATCGCTGGGGGAAATGACACAGCTTTTGGCACTCCGACACATAAGGTTTGGTTAAAGTGAGCCTTTAAAGGCTTCTCCACCTTATTGTGGGAGTAAAAATAGAGTCACTTTTTGTTAGTACAATTCCTAGAGTGGGGGACTTCAGGGAGTGGATGTAGGTCAAGGTTTATCAAATCACTATAAAATTATGGTGTACACTTTTTTATTTTTACTTTACGTATTTTACTTTTCTGCAATTTATTTTCCTAATAATTGCTTGGTTTAAAAAACGTGATTGATGGTAAATTTAGTTGATTCAATTATTCTCACCTTTGTTATAATTGTTGTTAAGTTTATTAGCTTTCATATAGGATGATCAAGTTCTTCATTTTAGGTTTTGAAAAATCACAACAAAATTAGTATTATTTCTTAGAATGTTTTAAATAACTAATTTACCCCCACCCCTCCTTTTGGTGTGCCTCAAGCTAGTTCATTGAGGTCTCACAACCTCCTCAAACTTTCAAAAGGTTTTCTAAATTATACCTATTGTGACATTACAAATGGTATCCTAAGACCTAAAAACATGCTAAAGTTGCATCTAAGATTTCACTAAAAATGTGATTTGAAGAACCAAGCCCTTAATAGTACTCCCAATCTTAAAAAATAGATAGGCATACTAAAGATATATTCTAAGCTATAAAATGAAAATGCACTAAGCTAGAAAATTGGAAGATTTCATTTTGAAGTTTTAATTTTCTTTCCACATCTCAAATGGCCTTAATAGCTTCCATATGTCTTGGACGGGTTCATTGCCTTTCGTACATGTCATCTTCTAGCGAAGGGAATTTTGAGGAAAATTTGAATTTAATTAGGTTGAGAAATCGAAGCTTAAATTTTTTTGTCCATTTTAACTAGGAACTCTAATAATGTTCAATTTTTTTCACTAGGGATCATTAGCTATTGAACATGTTAAGGTAATGATGAAAATTAGATTTCATTAAGATTTAAATATAATTGCAATTCCATCAAAGATAATATTTTTTAAGGTAATGACTTAGGATATTCACCCTTACAGTCAAATAATTGGTAAGATCCCTCTTAGTAGACTTTCTCCACCTTAAAAGGACCTTCCAATATATACTCAAATTTACCTCCAAACTTGTGATGGGAAAAGATGATCCTTTGATGAATGAAGTCTAAGTCTCTTACTTTAAATATTTTTGGTCATCATGTGCTTGAGCCATCCAAGAATTTTACACCTTAAGTTTTTTTTGAGCCCGTACACAATTCTTTTCAAAACATTCGAGTTCTTCCAACTTAGGTTGGGCGTTTTATTCAAATACTATATGGTTGTTAAATGTAATTCTTTAAAGAGGGAAGCTATATCTCTAGAGTGAGATTAACCTTAACCCAAAAAACTAAAGTAATAGGGTAGATTGAGTTGGATTCTATATGTGGTCTGATATGTCCACAAAGCTTCACCTAACATTTTGTGTGATAACTACCTATTATCATCTAAAATTCTCTTTAAGTTTTATACCATGCTTTTATTAATGGCCTCATCCAATCTATTTGCTTGAGGATAATAGATAGTTGAGTATCTCTAACCAATGTTAAGATACTCAGCAAAATTATCTCTTTTGAGGCTCTTAAAAATGCGACCTTTATCAAATATAATTTGATGAGGAGCATCAAATTGATACATAATATTGTTCCAGGAGAGTTAGATGGCTTGGTGAGCTTTTAAGTCTCTCGGTGGAACTATCTCAACCTACTTTAAATGTATACAATAGCAACAAATACACATTGATGGCTCTTAGTAAAAGGAGAACCAATAATATTCATGCTCTAACTTTCAAAAAGCTACAAGTAATTATCAGATGTAATACACTATGTTTAATGTAAAATTATACCATGAACTTGACATTTATGATAGCAATGTGCAATTTCCATGCATCATCAATCATCAATGATCAAAGTACCCTAATCTTTTAATTTAAATTTACTTCTTCAGGTAAGATTTATGAGCACCACACAATTTGGTGTAATCCACAGTCAAGATATTTAGGGGATTTTGTGTTTTTAAAAATTAGTAACCACATCTAATCAAATGACCAATGATATAGAGTGTCATTAATAAATGAATAAGAGAGAGCTCTTCTCTTAACATGGTAAGTGGTCAACTTATCTCGAGGGAGTTTGCCTTCTTGTCAATGAAGGGTTATCACCATTTAACTACTTCATCATCCATAGCAAGAGAAATCTTACCCTTAGAAGAGAAATTCTTGTTTATATATTCCAAATCTAAATGAGAGAAATCCTTCCAACCCTATACTTTTATAAAAATGGATCCTTCCACTAGGAAAGCTAATTCTTTTACAAGCTATGACTGGGTATATGCTATAGAATTTCTTCCATTAGGTATCCTATACAATGTTATAGTCAAAATCTGCTTGAGAATCTTGATCTTGTTCTGATAGTATAAAAGAAAGCTGGACTTTAAGACATTGTAAATTTCAACAACTTGATTAATAACAGGTTGTGAATCTCCAAAAATATTGATTTATTTGATCTTTATAAAGATTGTTAATTCTAGGTAAATTATTAAATCTTCTTATTAGAACAAAGTTCTCATAAATGTTAAGAATAATGTAAATGACATTTTTGAGGTGTTATGAAAGCTAATTCAATACTAGATTTCTCTGAGATAGCCACGGGTGACGCTATATCCCTCTGAGAGGATGCAACATCATCTAAATACAACTCCCACATAGAGCTTTCCTTTGTCCTCTAAACTCAAAATTTGCTCATCAAGAAGATTATCATCTAGGGGGGACTTAGTAGGTTTTGTGTGTGCTGCTAGAAAATTAGCCATGGCTTGAAGTTTTCCTTATTATTCTCTTTCAAAACTCGCAACATATATACTCTCAATACAAACATGAAACTAAGTCAGCTCCCTTAACTTTCAAACTATGTAGAAATTGATCTCAAAAATTAAAAAATTGAGCATTAATTTTTCACTCTCCTCTAAATTATAAAGTCAGCTCAAAATATCATCAAAAATTAACCCCAAAAGCATTTAAAATTTTAATTATTATTATTTTCAGAAATAGCAAATCTGATACGTTTCTTTACCCAACAGTAAGCAAAAATTGTAAAATGCAGCTCTACCATGATCTAAGAAAATATCTTAAAATATCAAGATTCATTTTACAGTTTTAATCAATATATATTGTTTAAATTATGTTTTGAGAAGATTCTGAGTATTTCTTCTCACATCTTACAATTAGCTGAAGTTAATCAATTTAAAATTGTATTTAATTTTTGACATTGTCAAAAATAAAATTCCAGATTTGAACAAGATAAATTGTAAATACATTGTTATTTTAATAATTATTACTGAAAGTCGTCGTTTGTTTACTATTCAATTCCCAGAAAGATCTCAACACTTCAATTACTTAAGCCCTTACACGATAAAACACGGAGGCCTTCAGCCTATAAATTAATCAAATTAATTATGAAACGATGTCCATCAAAGAAAGAACCATGGATACATTCCTCATACTCCTCTCCCTCGCCGGCTCAGCCGCTCTCTCCCTCCTCCTACGCCTCCTCCTCCTCCCCTCTAAGTCGGACCGTGAACTTCCCCCTGGCCCACCTTCCATCCCTATTCTCGGCAACCTCCTCTGGCTCCGCCGCCCAGTCTCCAACTTCGAACACTACCTTCTCAAAGACCTCCATTCTCAATACGGCCCCATAATCACCGTCCGCATCGGCTCCCGCCGCTCGATATTCATCTCCGACCGCTCACTAGCCCACAAAGCACTAGTTCAACTCGGCGCTGCTTTCGCCGACCGCCCTACTCCTCTCCCTGCTAGTCGCCTACTCAGCAGCAACCAACACAACATCACCGCCGGCTCCTACGGCCCGATGTGGCGCCTCTTCCGCCGCAACCTTGCCTCCGAAATCCTCCATCCCTCAAAAGTCCGCCTTTTCTCTCCTGGCCGCGAGTGGGTCCTCGACGCCCTCTTCCGTGACCTGAAAAACCAGTCATTGGGGGCTCCAGACGCCGCTGTCACCGCCATTGAGAGCTTCCAGTTCGCCATGTTCTGCCTCCTTGTTCTCATGTGCTTCGGGGAGAAGCTCGATGAGAAGAAAATACGGGAGATTGAAACTGCGCAAAGAGAGTATCTGCAGTACTTTAGCAAGCTCGGCGTGTTCGCTTTTTTGCCGACTGTATCGATGTACGTGTTCCGGAGCAGGTGGAAGACAATGGTTCGGTTGAGGCAGAGGCAGGCCGATCTGTTTGTTCCGCTGATTAGAATTCGGAAGGCGCATAAGGAGAACAAGAGGGAGGAGAAAGACGAAAGGTTTGTTCACTCGTACGTCGACTCACTTCTTGATTTAACACTCGAGGAGGAAGGAGGAAGAGCTCTGACTGAAGATGAAATAGTGACGCTCTGCTCCGAATTCTTCACCGGCGGAACAGATACCACGGCGACGGCGCTTCAGTGGATAATGGCTGAGCTAGTGAAGAACCAGGGCGCGCAGGAGAAGGTATTCGAGGAGATAGAGACTGTGGTGGGAAAAAATAAAGCAGAAAAAATATTGGAAGAGGATTTGCAGAGAATGCCGTACTTAAAAGCGGTGATCAAGGAAGGATTGCGGCGTCACCCGCCGGCGCATATTGTGATACCGCATTCGGTGACGGCGGACATTGAGTTTGAAGGATATTTGATACCTAGAAATGCCACAGTTAACTTTCTCGTGACGGAGATGAATTGGGATGAGAGAGCGTGGGAGGAGCCTAAGAAGTTTAAGCCGGAGAGGTTTATGACGGGAGGGGATGGGGAAGGCGTGGACATGACGGGGAGTAGGGAGATAAAAATGATGCCTTTTGGGGTGGGAAGGAGGATTTGCCCTGGACTTGGACTCGCCATGCTTCATTTAGAGTATTTTGTAGCTAATCTGGTGAAGGAGTTTAAGTGGGAGACGGTTGCAGGAGAGGAGGTGGACTTGTCGGAGAAACCTGAGTTCACATTGGTGATGAAGAATCCGCTGCGAGCTCAATTGGCTCCAAGAATGAAGGCTTAAGGTTTGGTGATGGCGCAGTCTCTTGTCATGATTTGTTTGATTTACATAGTGCTTTGTGTTGCATTGCTTGGTATTATTTCTTGTGTTTTGGTTGAAATGCTTGTCTTGTTGATATTGGCCATTGTTTGCTTTGCCTGGTTTTGATGTATCCATTCTCATGAGGCCTATAAGTAGAATTCGTACGAAATACTAATGTGAATCTTAGAAAATAGCGCATGATATTGATGAGATTTTTCGGGAAATAATTTGGGGTATAATTTAGTCAAGTCAACTTGCTTGGATTCGACTCAATAAATGGCTCATGAATCAAACTAGATGAGATAATGAGTCAAAGTTGAGATAGCTCTAACTTGACTCATTAGTTCACGAGTGCGACTTTTTTTAAGTATATTAATATAAAATATACTTAAAATAATTTAGCATTTATAATTTTACCGGCAATGTTGATAAAAATATCTAAAAATTATATCTTATTTTTTATATTAAATAATTATCTATTATTGTTCTTCTCCGTTTTTATTCTTTTTAATATTTTATTATGATAATTATTTGAATAATAATCATTTGAAAGTGTTTATAGCACATTAAGAGGGGGATATGAATTGATATTTTAAATTTTTTTCTTGAAAATAGAATAATATACAAAAGTTTTAAGAAAATAAAACTTTTAGATTATAAATTAAAGGGATTTTTAACCTTCCAGACCTTTTTTTTTTTTTTTTTTTTTTTGGGACGCCCTAGCATTAACATAATTTCTTAAAGGATTCATGTCATTATTGTTCGACAAGTTTTACGCTGGCTGTCGACTACCTAACGCAACCCTCCACTTTTCTCATCCAGGACTTGGGACCTGGCAACGGCAGTGTTAATGCTTGGATATTGACCTATATCATTTTCCTTGGATATAGCACTATATCACGCTCCATTAGCACTCTCTAGATAGAGAAGCCCACCACCCTTATAAGGTGGAGAATGGCCCTTACAGACTCCTCTATCCCCAAAAAATCTCTCTCCTTCAATCTTCCAGCATGGCAAAGATCCAGCTCCTCCTGCTCCTAGCATGACCAAAATGTCAATCCATCCTCCCACGAAGGAGATTTCTCTCCATCCATTTGCTACTCGCATGATGAAGGTGCTAACTATCCTCCTGGCAACAGCAAAGATGTCGTCCCTTACCCTCCTTGGCTAGTATGACTTTTCCGAAAGGCTTTCTCCTATGGCTCTTATACAAGCACTCCAAAACAACAATATGTAGGACACAAGGTATAGGTTGACAAAAATAATCACATGAAACCCTCACCCCTCTTGACACCCTCAAGAAAAACTCTCCCTGAACCTCACCTCCTCTCTCTCCCAAGTGATTTGGACACCCTCTAACAAGCAAGTAGACTCCCTTTCTTTCCCACAAGCTCTTTCCTTATAAAAACATCTATGACTACTCAAGTTGGACCCTCAAGTCTGGTGTTAAATTTATAAAATGGTTTATTTAAATAAAAACCCTAATTTTCAATTTAAAGATTTTTAGCGTATAGTATGTTACTCAAATCATACTATCCGATTAGTTCAATTTCATCATAGATCATCTTGTATGCTATTCAGTCGAGCAAAATGATTAGTTATATTGAATCAAAGATTTTCCAAAAGAACCAAGGTTTGTCCATGGTCCCTCTAGTGATTTATATCGTGTAGTATGATTTAGATAATATATAACAATCATTAATTAGAATTCGATTTTGATTTGATTCCATAATTTATAGAACAAAATTTAAGTAATATTCATTAATTCTCATATAGCGCAAAATCCTTCGTACAGTGCAATCAATTTAAATTTCAAAATTTCTTAATTTTAATAGCATAGATTCAACCGTGAGATTTATCAAAATAATTGATCATTATGTACGATTAAAGGTCTTGCAATACCATTAGTTATAACTTATTTTAATTTATCTTATTTAATTAAATATTTGAATTAATTTTTTATTTAACATATCGTTTAGTATGATTAGCAAAAAAATTCAAATATTCAATTTTCATTCCTCATGTGAGTGTATGCTCAGTTGTCTAGCCAGCATCCACCTTATGCATAAAATTATCAAAAAAAGAGAAAAGTGCAGTCTCTATTAATACAAATAGACTTAGACTTTATTTTTGCACTGTCTTTAAGTTTAATTTTTTTAGTCCAGCTCAATGTATGTTATATCGGGAATGGCTAGTAACTCAAAAGAAACAGACAATGCATATAAAGCAGGAACAATTAAATAATCATACAAATAATGTTTACAATTATCAAAATACTAGGTCGAGGTTCAGAATTTTAATAATCTCCCCATTTTGATGATGTCAAATATTATTGATCAAAATTTTAAATTTTAAATTATAAATTGATTGTTAATTCCCTGCTTAGTTCTCTACCTCACTAAATGACTTCTTAAAAATAATGGGAATAGATTTAATTTTTTATTTTTGATTGATTTTCTCTTTTTTTTTCAAATTTTTTAGAAAGGGGAATATTGTTGAAATCTATAAGTCCTATCAATCATATTGATAATTTCAAATATTATTGATAAGATCAGTTATAATTCAATGCAATATAGATTAGTCTTTTTTTTTTATTATTATTAATATTTCAGGTACAAATATAAGGATCCAAGTCACAAAAGAGAATTCAAGAATTGTAGCAATGAGTCCAGTTAAAATTTGTAATAAGAGTCTATTTTTTTTCCTTAAGTTTTTATATATTTAGTTGTATGTTGGCAAGACAACCGAGTACACAATCATAAGTGAGGATGAAAATTGAATATGATTTCTTTATTGAATCATATTGTACAATTCAAATCATCATGTATGATTAATTGTTTGAGAAATAAATCAAGCATTTAATTAAATCAACCAAACTAAAATCCAGCATAACTAACTATATTGTACAACTTTTTATCATAAAAGATGATTTGTTAGTTTGATAAATATCTTAAATATGAGTTTACAAATTTAAGTAAATTTGTGTTTTGAAATTTGATATATTCCTACTTTGCAAGCACATTCATACTAACTTGAACCAATGATTAAGGAATTGAATTAGCCACCTTCATAGCTCGCTGTCCTTGTGAGCAAAGGCAAAGGTTGCTTTCATTAAATGCCAAGCATGTTCATTGTGACAAAGGTGATCCCATCCTTAGGAATTTTCCTCAAAGAGGACTCTATAGAAGCAACTTGGAAAAAATGACCCACCCATTTAGTTGTCACTTCTTGGGTGGTGGACTGAGTCACATTCCCTCCTAAGAGAATGTGGCCTCTATAGAAGCATTTTGCTCTAGATGTAAATTGGACTCGATCTCTTTCTCAATGGGAGGAGTGACCTACTTTTCTTTACGCTTCACGGCTTTGAGCTTTTACCATCCCACGGAGAAGTGAACAAAGATGAATGATCACCTCCTACACACTTCAAGTAAGAAATTTTGTGTGTAAACTCTAATTTATGCAAGTGTTCTTATCTTGTCAAGTAATAATATAATGAGTGGAGCATCATGCCCATGAGGGTATGAATTACCTTAAGTTCACTCTATTGTTACTTATGTAAATCATTAAGTTTATCTTATCAATGGAAATTTAAGGTTGTATTAATAAAAAAATATCAACTAAGTCTTAAATTTTAAAATACTATTTTTAAATGACTCTAAACTTATGATAATTAAACATTTTATGAGTGCAAAATTTAGATCTCTCTTATGGTTATTGTGAATTTGAGCATAAATACTTCCCATCTTTATTGAGCTTGTTAGTGTCTAGCTAATATTTTCTTAACTTTAGTGATTATATCTTCTTAAGATTCCAATAATCTATCCAGTATATATCTATTTATGGCAATATCTCATTTTAAATCCCCTAATTGTTTCACTATTCCTTCTTTGAGGCTATATATTACACTATATTTTAAATTTATTTAACTAAATTAAGCATTTTATAATTTATGATATTCAGATCTCATCTTAATTTAACATAATTTTTAATATATCATTGACACGCCTAGAATAAAATTTGGAAGAATTATATATTTTTTTAATCATTTATTATAACTTCTATAAATCATCCATATTTTATATCTAGCAAAAACATCCAAAACTATATACATCAAAATATTTCACTATAGTTATTCTCTCAAAATTATATATACTAGCTAGAAGATCAATACAATCATTTATCTATCAGAAGCTCCTCGCTACAAAAGATTAAAAGAAAATACAAAATAAAATTAAAAGAAAATATGATGATCTCTAAAAATCTCACCCCACATAGTCCTGACCCCTTTCCTAACCTAAAATCATTAAAATTCATATAATGACTAAAATGCCTAATAGAAATCCAATTTTTCTAAAGCATTCAACACAAGGCTTGGAGAATCAATATACATGCATAGTTTAATTAATACAATCAATAGCATTTTATCTCACCAATGATCAGTTAACATTCATAAGGAGCAAAATGATCAATGATAAAAGAAAAAAAATCATTTCTATGGATCAATAGTAAATATTAAATTCATAAAACAATCATACCAAAATCATTCATAAATCAATAAAGGGATCATAATATATATGTGATAATATCATCAGTATTCTCCATCTTATCTATTATCAATCATATGTATCATATGCAGTAACACATGTATTTGTACCCATCATTATTTATCTATCAATGTTATCTATGCACATTGCAGTTCTATCTATCAATACTATCAATGTATATATACTTTAACATATGATTCAATGAGGCAGGTCATACAACTTTAATATGGTATTTTAAATTTATCACTCCTATGGTTTCACAGTTGGTTTTCAGTCATATCCATCATATTCATCATTTATTCAATTAATCAATTATCATTACTAGTGGCTTTCATTAAATCAATAAAGAGTCATCACTCTCTAACTATCAGCATAATTGGTTATCAATTATAAGCTAAAATTGGGATAACACCACAAACCATCTTTATAGGAAAGTATGTCAGACCGTGCTCCTACACGAGTTATTAATATTTCAAGAGCCAACCCGTATTAATTTTAGTGTTAACAGCCAATCTTCCTTGCTTAAATGCAAATGTCACCCTAATTTAAAAGAAATGCTCAAATCTATAAAATAAATTAAAATCTACATATTAGTCTATAGCTTCAGGAAATCACAACTCTTATATTACCCCTATTAGCACAGACGAAACAGCCGTTGGCTTTATGTATCTCAAAGCAAATCAAATTATTACACGTGTACCGATAGGACTACCTACTAGCTATTTATATGTCTCTGTACTCTAAGAAAACAAGAGGAAAAATAATATAATTTGCTTTCTACTTTCTGTCTCTCTTACTTTCCCTGTACTCGTCTTCTTCCTCTATCTGTTCTTGAGTTCTTGGTTTCTACATGGTATCAGGCCTTCCTTCCTCACCTGATCGGAAATGGCTACCTCTCAGTCCGCTTCCTCAGCCACTGATCATTCCCACGGCACTCAAGCAGATACATCGCAAATCTCCCAATCTCTCAAATTCGTGGTATCAAATCTAAAAACTCTAGTTCCGCATCAACTAACATCTGATAACTATCCCATATGGCGGCATCAAATTCTCAAGCTCCTTAGTGCAAATGACTTTGATCACTTTCTTGCACCACCGACGACACCTGCACTCTCAACGAACGATTCAGGTGACTCCACGCACAAGAACTGGCGCTTCATCGACCAGAATCTCCAAGCGGCACTATGCTCGACGATCTCGCCACAGGTGCTGCCATACATTCTTCACCTGGACTCCACTCACGAAATCTGGCAAGTTCTTGAGAGCCAGTTTCAAGCAACCAGTCGATCCAAGGTGATTCAGCTAAAGAACGAGCTACACAATCCATGAAGAATCTTTCTATGATCCAGTACCTTACTGAGATCAAGAAACAAGTCGATCAGATCGCTTCAGCCGGCTCAACCATAGACTCCGAGGACATCATCCTCTACATCATGAACGGTTTACCTCCGACGTATCAATCCTTCAAGACTTACATTCGCAACTCGCCGCATCCGATTCGACTTGAAAATTTGTACGCCATGCTCATTAGCGAGGAAATACATATTAACGCAGACGCTGCACGCATTCCTACTGATACAATCCAACAAACGGCATTCTACACTCAACGTGGTCGGGGTCGCCGATCAAGAGGTCGTTCTCAACCATCCTCAAATCCCACGAGTAAAATCAATCCTCAGCAACAACAACTACCTACATGCCATATCTGCACCAAGAAGGGCCATACGGCAGATGTATGTTGGCATCGCATGAACGCCTCTTACACTCTGCAACAGACCAATTCTAAGCAGAACAGCGCTCTCCTGGCATGTTCTGAAACTCAGTCCTATGACTGGTATCTTGACTCTGGGGCATCCTAGCACATGACCAAAACGGCAGAAAACCTTCATCAAACCACGGCATATCAGGGGACCGAAGGAGTCTTTATCGGGGATGGAAGGAACATACCCATCGCCAACTCGGGCACGGGCATCCTTCCAACCCCGAACCGTAAGCTTCACTTAACCAATTTACTTCATGTTCCCAATATCTCGCACAATTTAATCTCTATTTCTCATCTTGTTAAAGATAACAATATCTCGATTACGTTTGATCCATTGGGTTTTGTGTTTAAGGACTTGATGACAAATCAAGAGCTTCTTCGCGGTCCATGTAGAGAAGGACTATACAAGCTATCGTCCAAGGCTGCTCCACCGCAATGCACGTCAGCTCTTCAAGCGTCCAAGAAGAACGCCGCCGACTGGCATGATCGTTTAGGCCATCCGCATCTCCGCGTTCTGCACAAGATAGCTCACAGCAATCCTAGTTTACATATTCAACATTCTTCTCATGTTCCTTGTATCACATGTATTCAATGCAAAAGCCACAAATTACCTTTCGAGTTATCCAAAACAAGGTGTCAAAAAACCTCTTGAACTCCTGCACACTGATGTATGGGGACCGGCACCGATTACCTCTACTCAAGGTTATAAATTTTTCGTCATATTTGTAGATGATTTTTCGCGCTATACTTGGCTTTTTCCACTTACACATAAATCAGATGTGATTAAAATTTTTATACAATTCACTACACTTATAGAAAATCAGTTAAATCATAAAATTAAATCTCTCCGGACCGACGGTGGTAAGGAATTCATCAATAACCAGATGCAGAACTTCCTCCGATCCAAAGGTATTCATCATCAATCCTCGTGTCCTTACACACCTGAGCAGAATGGAGTATCTGAACGCAAAAATCGACACATCTTGGAAACTACAAGAGCACTCATTCATAAAGCCTCAATCCCTGCGATCTACTGGCCCGAAGGTTGCAAAACAGCCACATATCTGATTAATCGCATGTCGTCGTCTAACACCTCTAACAAAGCTCCTCTACAAATTATGTTCAACAAAATACCAGAATACACTCATCTGAGGACGTTCGACTGTGAATGTTTCCCTCTTCTTCCCCGACACATGCGAAACAAACTTCAACCGAAGTCAAAATCATTTGCATTCATGGGCTACTCAAAAACTCAAAAAGGCTATATATGCCTCAACAGGGAATCAAATCAAACCTTTATCTCTCATAATGTTATGTTTCTTGAACAGTATTTTCCCTTTGCCAATTCTACTCCATCTGTGCAGATTCAGCCTCAGGACATATCTCCGGCTTTACTTCTTCCAACATCAAAAGCATCTGAAATTCGACCGATTAGCAAGAACGACTACACATACAATCCTGACAATCCTTCCTGCACCCAATACTGGCCGTGCTCACCCAGCCACTCAAACCTGCCCGCAAGTCCAACGTCCAGCACAAATCTGCCTTGTTCACCGCAACCCGTCAAACATCCCATGGTTACCAGGCTGCAAACTGGCTCACTAAAGCCAACCCGACGTCTCAACCTGCTAGCCACAAACTTATCGCCACACGACCCTGATCCTACAAACTTCTCTGATGCAAATAAAAATCCGGAATGGCGACAGGCAATGGCCGAAGAATTTATAGCCCTTCAAACTCAGGGAACGTGGCATCTAGTTCCCCCTCCACCAAACGCATCCATCTTAGGATGCAAATGGACATTTCGTAAGAAGTTCAACGCAGATGGCTCCATAGCTAGGTACAAGGCAAGATTAGTCGCGCAAGGTAACAGACAGAAGTATGGAATCGACTACGACGAGACATTCAGCCCGGTAGCAAAACTTCCTACCATCAGGATCCTTTTCACCCTCGCTATCTCCAAAGGGTGGATGGTATATCAACTGGACGTATCCAACTCATTTCTCCACGGTCAACTTACCGACACCGTATATATGACGCAACCAAGGGGCTTCATCGACAACAATTACCCAAATCACGTATGCTGGCTTCAGAAATCAATCAATGGCCTTAAATAGGCTCCAAGGCAGTGGTACATGACATTCACAAATTATCTTCTGACGATCGGATTCAAGCACAGCCAAGCTGATCCGTCCCTCCTTACGAGTAATCAAGATCAAACGCAAATTTTTCTTCTAGTGTATGTCGACGACATACTCATCACAGGCAATAATCAAGATGCTATTCAAATCGTTCTATCCAAGCTGGACTCCAAATTTAACATGAAACACCTTGGACCAGCTCATCACTTCCTCGGCATCAAGATTCAAAAGCTTCAAGATAAGTTTTTCTTGTCCCAACCATCATACGCTACATCCATTTTAAATTCTATTAACCTTACTGACTGCAACTCTCTTGCAAATCCATCTTGTACAAAACTTCCGCTCCAAACTCCCGAAGACGCATTGCTGTCCGAACCCAACACCTACAGGCGCATCACTGGTTCATTACAGTATCTGACGCTAACACGTCCTGATATTGCCTATGCAGTGTACGTGCTCTCTCAACATATGCATGATCCCTCATCTCAACACATCTATCTCCTCAAGAGGTTGCTGCGGTATATCAAAGGCACACTGACATTCGGTTTACCCATTGCGCAAGCTCCACTCAAGCTCACAACATACTCTGACGCTGATTGGGCGAGCGATCCTACAACCCGGAAGTCAACCACGGGCTACTGCACATTCTTAGGGGAAACACTGATCTCATGGGCTGTCAAAAAGAAGACTACGGTCTCTCGGTCATCAACAGAATCCGAGTATCGAGCACTTGCTGCAGCAATTGCAGATACCATATGGCTCAAGAGACTCCTCAATGATTTTCTCATTCCGCAGAACCAACCCATTGATCTCTTCTGCGACAACATGTCAGCTATTACCCTTGCACATAATACGGTGTTTCACACAAGAACTAAGCACATATAAATAGATCACAAATTTGTTCGAGATCACATTCAAAACCAGGTTATTCGTCTTCTTCCGATCAGCACTACTCACCAAATCGCTGACATTTTAACAAAGCCTCTCTCCATTCCACGGTTTAAGGAGCTACGGTCCAAACTGACCATTCGAGACGAAAGCTCTGTTTGACGGGGGCTATTAGCACAGAAGAAACAGCCGTTGGCTTTATGTATCTCAAAGCAAATCAAATTATTACACGTGTACCGATAGGACTACCTACTAGCTATTTATATGTCTCTGTACTCTAAGAAAACAAGAGGAAAAATAATATAATTTGCTTTCTACTTTCTGTCTCTCTTACTTTCCCTGTACTCGTCTTCTTCCTCTATCTGTTCTTGGGTTCTTGGTTTCTACAACCCCTATAAAAGTTAATAATATTACAGTCAAAATTTCCATAATATTCATATCTATTGTATACAAAAAAGTTATATGATGAAAGATTGTGAAATAAAGAGAGATGCATTTTTGGCAGATTTGAAGAGATAAAATTTATAAAAATCAAAATCATCAAAAAATAGATGTAAGAGAATAGTTATGCACTATGAATTGAATAACTTTCATAACTAGAAGGATAGACGAACATGATCCAAAGACTTTCTTTCTCTCTCTCTCCTCCTCTTTTCCCCTCTATTTCTTCTCCTTTAGTTTCTTCCCAGCCAAGCAAATAGAGTGACGGAAAAGTGAGGGAATGGTAGGGATAAATATATATATTTAAACAAAATACGACTCATTTCAAAAAGAAAATAAAAATATATGAGGTAAATTAAAGAAAATTATAGTAGCAAGATATTGACATCAACTCGCCTTGTCTCTCACCTATAAGCTCCATCAACTAGCTACATTTAATAATATACTCAGGTTTTCACACGTAGATTTACAATTAAAACACCTTAACATGGAGCTAACAAAGATAAGTTGGCAGCTCATCATCACTAAAGACTGCTAAGATGGGAATTTTGGCATTCAGCACATGATATTATGAAGTTGTAATAACCATATATCTATAGGAAAGTAAATAAAAGAAAAACACAAACTTGCCACACAAGTACATAAATAAATTGAATTTAATTATTTAGAACTTTCTATTTAAATTTCGTTTCTTACTAGATATATATATAAAAAAAAAAAAGAGTAAGAAAAAAATAAAAAATAGGGATATAAGCCTACTCGTCTTGACTAAAAATTTTACATTAGATCCAACGCCCTTCATCATTATCAATTAATGCCGACTCAAGAGTAAACATTCCATTCTGTATCAAGCAGTTCAGGAAAAGGCACCCTCCCACTTTGTCATCTCCACAGGACTATAATTAATTGCCATCTCATCCATCAATGCCTTCACCTCTTTGTGGGATGGAGCCCAATCATTTCTTCTAGCCACATTCTGTAATGTTCTTAGACTCTTCCTAAGCATTCCTAGAACATTGAGTACCTTCTTTCGAATTTGGAAGGGCCTCCAAGGTAAGTGGCACTTGAGCATGGATCCCATCGTCAATGGAGGTGGAGAAGGCAGAGACTCCCATAGTCCAGACCTTCATTGAAGATGGAGCTCGTTTGTTCACGATACTTGTTGCTAGTGGAGTCATTCCTATGATAAATAGTTAAGGATCATCAAAAGAAATCACCTTACCTAAGAAACTCAAAGGGACTAATAATAGTCTATCGTACAAAACCTTCATCCTCATAAATGATTTTTGGATCCCTACTACCTCAAAAATAGGGACCTCAAATCAGTTAACTGGTGTCACAATGCCTCTCTCGAAGCTAAGTAAGCCTTCGGTGAATAATCACTCTACCCATAGATATTGTAAGGACCACTACAATAGTCATTAGAATAACTTATGATGACCTGAACTAATCAGATAAGATTGGCATGATCAAAATTCTGTTTTTCTAAATTTTTTGTGAATGTTCTGTATTATTTTTTTCTATTTGAAAATGTGTCTCAAAGGGTTATATGTGAAAATCCCTCTCTATGTGTGTAAATTCTCCGAGAGTGGTATGATGCTGCATTTTAGTTGTGCTGCAATGCTATCTTCTATATTTCTGGGTAGAAAAAGGGGGTCTCTATGATTATTACTACGGCACTAGGTTTCTAGGCACTATGGCACTGGATTCTATGTTAGAGCACCACAGTGCTAGCTATGGGCGCTATGGTGATTTGTTCTTCATATTCTTAATAGGATTTAAAGTTTATGGGAATGCTGTGGCACTGGGCATTTAGTGGCTGCCGCAATATGTTTTAAATTTTAATAAATATCAAATTCCATTAAAATTCCACTATCAAAATCATTCCAAGCCATTAGATTTGCTAGCTAGAGATAAAGAGAGGATGATTCTTAGAGAGAAAATTTGATTAAGGGGATTTTTAAATTATTTTTATCTATCAAGCCAGTTAGAAAAGTTGTCCAGATCAAGATATGTTACATTTACCCTACCTTTTTTTAATGATGCACATTTTTATGAAAGTTCTAGCTTTTTAATTACACAAACGACATAAAAATGTGGATATTCAAACAGCTAGAAAACTTTCATATGTAATTTTTTGTCCAAAAATAGTACTGTGAATGTGATTAATGAATGGTATTATAATTAGTAACTATTGAAATATTTGTATAAATATACTACAAAATTCTGACTTCTCTATAATAAATGTGAAGTAATGTATATTCTCATGATTTATCTAACTATGTTTATATCTATCGAGAGTGTTGGTATTTTTTTATTTGCATAACTGAATCTATGTGAAAGAAGGATTTGCTATTAGTTGTTTTTTGATGCTCATGTGCTTCCAAGTAGAGGTATAAGGATCTGACTCTAAATGAATAAATGTGGCAATGCACTAGAAGTCAAAAGGGCCTAATACTATTGTGTTATGTATTGGTTCGGTGTATTCTATTTAGCCATGGTTTCCTTATACCTTTTTTTGCATGTGTTCATTTCAAGACAAGGAAAGGGAAAGAAGCAGCTTGCGTAGATAGAGGTTGTACATTTTAGGAGCTAGATATACGTTTTTATTAATAGATTTCATTCTAACAATCATGATGTATCTTTGATGATATACAAAGATGATTATTGTGTATATGAATACGAGGATTGTATAGCTTTTTTATGATGAATGAAAAATGTTGATGAATTATTTTTCGCATTTTAATTTGATGTTTAGTGGCTCTATGTTTCTATTAGAAAATGAAAGAAAAAGAAATTTCATTCAAATAGATCATTGAAACTATCCTGTCACGATCTAACACGATGTAACTTGTTTAGTATACAAGTTATGTTAGAATAGGTTGTGACAAACATCACTCAAGGTTTTGAAAGCGCTTCACCTTGCCTTCATCTAGACCCATGGTAGACTTGGTCACTATAAGAATAAACAAAGTCATAGCAAAAGCCACCACTTCAACAATCATACCCACAACAAGCCCTTCAATGGGGTCTCACCACACTCGCATCACAGTTAGATGGGAATCATAAAAACTAAAGGAGTGAAATATTATCCATGGGGTCCCACCAACCCAATATCTTACTTGCCAGCATCTTCCTTACCTCATTAGGCACAAGTGGCACAAGTTCATTTGCCCTTGGGCTAATAGACCCACTTACCTTTATAGCCGTCTTCGTTTTCTTAATCATGGGAGAAGCTAGCTTCTTCGCCTTATTTTCTTTTAGTTTGTGTTTGCTCATGAGAACCTTTATCAACCTCTTAAGGCTTAACTCAGCCAACTTAGCAAAGTCAAAATCATCCATCCTAAGCAGGTTAGAATTACTTAAGGAAGAAGAAAGAAATGTAGCAACCTTTCACCACTCAATCCACTATTTACATATATGAAAGGCTACAGTTGATATAAGACAATAACTTCTACTTAATCTCCTTTTTATTTATTTATTGATAACATTAATTGCATATCTTTAACTCATTTGTTCTTTTTGCAACTTGCCATTTAAAGGGTCAAGTGAATCACGAGACTAAATGTATATTCATACATGCTCATATAGGTAATGCACAAGTATTTAACACATCCTCAAAGGGAACTCACCTCAAATGATCATATTTCTCAATATGAGAACTTGCCACAAGGAAAGGGAGCCCGTTAATAAGCTAGTCAACACTATCTTGCAAAAATATGGCTATCTTCCCAACAAGGCCATCATAGGGAGACACATTTAAATTGATTACACTACAGAATCATCCTATCCAGCAAATCCCCAACAAGCATATCATCTGGGATGGGCCACAAATGTCACTCATCCCAATAAAAGTCGTTTATTTGCATGCACTCTCCATTGCCAAAGCTATCTAGTAGCTACCAGCATCATCAGCCCAGCTACATGAAACTCACATATCTCAAAAATGTTGCAATAAAGATCCCCCACATCGAATAGTCATCAACCTATTGTCCTTGTCCAATAGGTAAACTAATCCCATTTAAATTTAGAGGTCACCCATAAGAACTCGTCCCAAAACCAAGAGTAACATTATAGGCAAAGATACTCATGAGGGGACGCCAATTGGATATGCCATGTCTCCATGACATCTAATAATGTCTCAAATCATTCGTTGTATTTTACATTATTTTTATTTTCTTAGGTGTATCCTTTTATATAGCCCTCAAAATTCTATAAATAAGTGTTAAAGAATATCTGAATTTTTTTTTAATCTGTTGGCTCTTTTTAAATTTGTTCAGCAATTAGAGACCTAAGACTCTAACTACGTGGTTTCTATATTGTTCTCAAGTAAGACCCGCAACATTCTCACCCTCCACACACATATATATATATATAACAACGGCAAATATATATATATATATAACCCACTAGACCTCCTAAGTTTCTATCTCAAGATGACTTGCTAGCATGACCAAGTATCACCCATGGATAAAATTAGAACAAACACATTAATTAATGAAAATGAAAGTCATAACAGAACATGAATATCCATGCAATAAAATGCAATGTCCTAAATCACAAATTTAAATCGCCACTACAAAATTTATTAGTTGATTTCATCATAAAGAATAAAGTTTGGGTGGGGTTTAGTACATCCCATGGGGGAAAAAAAAACCTAAGCACCCAACAAAAAAAATATTTGAAAAGACTTAGCCCAGCATGAAAGGTGAAAACAACGGCAATAGAAACAAGAAAAATAACCCACTAGACCTCCTAAGTTTCTATCTCAAGATGACTTGCTAGCATGACCATGTATCACCCATGGATAAAATTAGAACAAACACATTAACTAATGAAAATGAAAGTCACAACAGAACATGAATATCCATGCAATAAAATGCAATGTCCTAAATCACAAATGTAAATCGCCACTACAAAATTTATTAGTTGATTTCATCATAAAGAATAAAGTTTGGTTGGGGTTTAGTACATCCCATGGGGAAAAAAAAACTTAAGCACCCAACAAAAATAATATTTGAAAAAACTTAGCCCCGCATGAAAGGTGAAAACAGCGGCAACAGAAACAAGAAAAAAATAACCAAAAAATAAAAAGAGACGTAGAACAAAAACAATGCCCCCCCCCCCCCCCCCCCCCCCAAAAAAAAAAAAAAGATCAGAAGCTTTTGCCCCTTTGTTTTTTCTTGTATTAACAGTTTTATTTCCGGTGCACGAACTATTGTCAAGAATTCCCTCATTAAGGGTTAAGCAGAAGGGAGAGCCCAACCTTGGAGCTATTCTCAATTGCCTTTGTGTCCACCTCAGCAGTGAGAGTTATTAAAGATTTAGGCCTCCACTGGTGCTGGATGAGTGCACTGGCCTTGCCAAAGTTGTTAACTTGAGCCTTGATTGTTGTCAGAGGATCCAGTGAGTGCTGGGCCCCAAAGGTGAGTGTGTTCTCATTGTTGGGAAAATTGTGGGTCAGCTCGGCCCCAACTGCAGTGTTTGTGAGTGGGCTCACAAGTTGGTAATAGGATGCACTCAGAAAATCTCCTTGGTTGTAACTGTAAATAGAAAATATTTTATTTCTTTCATAAGAGAAAAATAGCATAATAAAATTTTGGTTAAAAGAGGAGAGCTATTAATTACTCACAGATGCAATGAAGCAATGAGTTCGGCATTGGTGATGCTAAGAGCAAGATTGTACTTGGTTAACTCTCCAATAGTTGTATCCAGTAATAGATGAGCACCAACAGCAATTTTATTGGTACCGATCACTCCAGAAAAGTTAATGATGGGATTGGCAGTCAATTCAATACTAGTAGTAAAACTAGCAATTTCATGCAAGTGCTGCACCTCAACCTAAGGATGAAGTAAAGGTAGGTAAAGAAAACAACTAAAAAAAACCTTTTCAATGATAAAGCAAAGGTAAAAAAATTTGAATAGACGGACTCACAAATTTTTTCAAAATGAATTTAAAGGCAAAAAGAGCAACTTCAAAATTTACCTTGCAAGGCCTTTTCTCTGGAAGAACACAACTGAGTATCGTTTTTAACTTAGGTATTCCAAGGTTGTCAATAGTAAATGTGGTTAAAACCTACAAAAGGAGACAATAAGGTTATTCTTTAGCTCATCTATGATACCAAAAAGGAAAGAAAATGTTTCAGAAAAGCTCATTATGTTAACAAGAATAATTGAAATGTATTGTGCTATAGCGAATCTGCTATCACTGTCACACCAAATATAATATAGCATGCGCAATTAAAGCACTAAAAAAATCAACAACAACAAAGAACTTTCTTACATTGGATTCTGAATTCGCTATCACATCAACTGTAACATTCTTGTTCTTCAGCTGTGACTGGATCTCACCCGAAAGGAAATTATTTTTCTTTGTACCTGAAGCAATGATGGCCTGCAACAAGAAAAAATAGGGGAAAGTATAAAAGAGAAGAAAATTAAAGCAGAATAGCGCCAGGAAAACAAAAGTCAAATGCTAATACTAGCTAAAGATTTCTGAAGTCCTCAATGCCGAAAAAAGAAAAATAAATATTGTTAAAAAGAGTGCCAGAGAGCTATCATTTAAAATTGATAGCATGGTATGGTTGTAGCTGAACACTGAAAGTGACAGAATTAACAACTAACTATGAATAAGTTCTCAGCAAGTTATATTGTACAACTTGCTCAATCGAATTACAACTATTTGTTCGGTTCAAACATGATGGGTAAGGTATGCTACAAAATAGATGAGAGAGAAAAGACCAAGGTCTGCTAGGGATTAGCTTCCATGGCAGCTTCCACCTTCTCCATGTCTAGAGCACCATCCCTGTTCTCTTTGATCTGAGTTCTTTCAGAACTCAGTTGTCTAGTGATTCTCTCCTCTTCTCCACATCTAACTGAGGCTGCAGGATCACATGCCATGTTTCTCTTCCCGTCCACCTCCCGTCCCCTTACCTTCACATCCTAATATCTACAGTACATTCAACAAAAGCTTTTTTGCTCCATGACCCAACACCAAACTCTTCTAATATGGACTCATCATTTTTTTACAACAGTTCTTTACTAGCCCTTTATACTACCTCTAGTGGGGTGGTGCATCTTTCAGTCGCTAGCTTGGCAAGGCTTATAGATAAGATGGTCCCATCAGGCTCCCTCAATTAGGAAAATCTAATTAACTCATAGATTTTGAAAGGAGACTTTCCCCTTTCCTATGATGAAAATTACTCATCTCTTTTGACTGATGAAGTATTTGAGGGTGGTATAGAATGGAAATTGGCATTTATTGGTTATGCAGTGAGCAAAAGACAAAACTATGGCTTTTTCTAATAGCACCAATGAAGTTTTAGAAGATACGTGAGCAACGACCCTATATGAGAATTTCTTTTTGTTTAAGTTTTCTTGTGTGGAAGATTATGAAATGTTCTGAAACGGTGGGCCATATTTCCTCTTTGGAAAACACTTTCTATTCAAGAAGTGGATTTGGGATTTCAAGCCTTTTAAAGATGGCATAGCTGACATACATTTATGGATTAAATTCCCTCATCTTCCCCTTTCTTATTGGAATTAGGAGGGATTGTTTAAGTTGGCTAGCAAAATCGATGTTTTGTTAATAGAAGATAACATAACTCTCTAGACTAACTTTCATGAGATTATGGGTGCAGATTAATTTCTCCACGCCTTTGTCAAATTCGATTACTACTAACTTGAAAGGATTGAAATTTGATCGAGATATTATTTATGATTGGAAATCCACTTCTTTCAAAAATATGTGCATTTATGAATGATGACTCTTCATGACTTAAAAATGCCCTTACTCATAATCTTAATGGAGGTAGGAGCATGTTCAAAAGCAATGGTCATTGTCCTCTAAGGAAATCTGGGTGTCCAATTAAAATCCATTCCACGTTCACTGCTAATCACAACCACAACCCCTCAGCCTCTTTGTTTGATCAACAGAACTTGCTAACGCCCACTATACAAAAAGCTACTTTTGTCTTCTCCATCTTATGGCTATAATCCAACCCACTTGATAGATTTAGATACCCCTCCTCCTACACCTTCACAACCTCCTCCTGAATCCCATGCATCAAATCCTAATATTCTCTCGTTACATTACCCATCATCATGAAGATACTGAATCGATCATTCAGAATTATTTTATGCTAGATAAGATCATCAATTCAGACCTTAAACATATCTCTTCTAAAGCGGCTTCTTCTATAGCCTTAAAAAGATGAACTCATTTTGTCCATTATGTATAGCTCTTGCATTGGACCTTGGAATGTAATAAGGTTCCAAGCAGTAGGGGCATTGCTGATCTACAGAAGGTTTGTCCAGGAAAATGTTCAAGATTTAATTGACGTCAAAAATACAAAAATCAATCCTGGTCTTCTTGCGTGCCATTTATTTTTTATGATATTTTCAAAAATGAGCAAAGCTCTAAAAATTTTCTTAGTTTCCTAACAGGGAAATCAGATTAAAAAAATCCTCTTAAGATTACTTTTAATCGAACTCTAATTTTCTCTCAACTGATCCATGGGAAAGTGATCATCTCTATCAGTCAAACGTTTTATTCCACTTTTGTCTATGCTATCAATGATGGTTTTGGTAGAAGGGATATTTTAACCTTTTTATCAAATATTTCTTTCTCTATGCCGTCCAATTGGATTGTGCTTGGAGACTTTAATTGCATTCGGTTCGAAAAAAAAAAAGGCAATCCCTCTCCAAAAAGGATGATGATTTCAATGAATGCTTGTTTGACTCTTAACTTTTTGGATCTTGTCTATAACGGTCTTGCATATATGTAGTCCAATAATGAAGATGATTATCTCATCAAATCAAAGATAATGATTTCAATAAATGTTGTCTTTGTAATCCACATAGCTATAAATTCTCCCTTCCTCCTACAGAGTCCTACTACAAGGTGTTTCACCCAATGTCTTGAGATCACTTACCATTAATTGTTTAGTTGGATGTGTTTGCACAGAGAATCACATGTTTCTAAACAAAAACTACTATTTATCTGTCTATAACAATACTATGTTGATAGATTGGGCTTGCTTTGTTTATGGAGACATGATTTATGTCCTCTATAAAAGGTTAGGTCTGTTAGACTTGCCCTTAAAGCTCTGGTTGGAATAAAGATAAAAATTTAAGGCATGAAATATCAAGCTTTAATCTTTAAAAAAAAGCACATTTCTCAGTAGGATGGAGACTATTCTAATGAAACTCTTGTTGCAATGAACACTTTTATAAATGAAAATTATTCTCTTTCAATCTCCTGTGAGACTCAATGGATAAAACAACACGAAAAGGTGGCCTGGTTGAGTAAGGGAGAGGATGGCATCCAATTCCATTATAATTCAATCAAGGAGGGGTGAATTCTAACATGATTGAGATACTCTATCCTTGATGGGGTCATTTCCTCCCCTTTTGACATTACTCGCTAGTAAAGGATCTTGATAAGACCAACGACATGTAGAGGAGAAAAGAAGGTTCTGAGAAGTGCGGATTCAAACTAACTGCTTGGATCCTATTGTCGAGCAGTCGCTACCACTACTTATGTCGAAATAAACTTGCACTCTCTTTCACTCCTTTCTTCACCTCTCTTTAACCCCTCTTTCTTTCTCACTCTGTCCCTTCTCACTTTCTCTATCTAATTCTCTTTCTCCCTAATTCTCTCCTTTTCTTTTTCCTTCTCTTTCTCTCTTCCTCTCTATAATTTTCTCTTCTCTCACCCTCTTTTTCTCTCTAATTCTCTTTCCTTCTTTCTCACTCCCTCTCCTATCTTTCTCTAACTAAATCTCACTCTCCATCTCTGATTATCTCTCTTTCCTACATAATTTTCTCTTTATTTCTATGATTCTATCCTCTCTCCTATATTTCTCTCTAATTTTGCTCTCTTTCTCTCTCTAATTTTTTTCTCCCTCTGCTCACTCCTCCCCTTTCTCTATTTTCCCTCTACTTTGCCTCTCTAACTCTCTATGCTCTCTATTTTCTCCAATTCTTTCTCTTTCCCTCTCTTATTCACTCTAATTTTCTTCCCACTTTCTTTTTTTCTAATTCTATCACTCCTAATTTCTCTAATTCTCTCTCTTTCCCTCTTTTTCTCTCTAAATCTCTCCTAATTTTCTCTCTAATTTTCTCTCTCTTCTCTCCCTTATCTCACAGTATCTCTTTCTCACTTTCTTTCTCTAAACAAAGAGATAAAAAGAAATGAATGAGAAAAAAAAATGTGATGAATACTCACCTAGTTAACTCACTAAATTAGTTATCATCTCATTGACAACATTTTGTATGCTAGGTATAATATAAAGCAAGCTCACACATTCATATAGTAACTGAACCGTACCTTTATTAACATGGCTGGAAAATCTTACACCCTTGCATATTCCTCGTGGAACTAACACATATGGCCTTTCTTACTGCATGCATCATTCTTAAAGTGGAAAGAAAATTTTATTTGCAATTTGTCTATGCACCTACAATGAGCATATATACCTTTCTTGGCATGGTGGGACTAGAAGGCAAGGTTATTTTGTTCACACAACCAAGTGGTCATTTTCATCCTATGGTTAATGCAAGAGAAACTATCGCTCACATAATACATAAAGATGATCTTTTGGTTGTTAGCCATGCCAAACCTTCCACTTTTGGTCTTAAGAAGTACATTGTCCTTATTTGCTTGATGAACTAAGCTTCACACAAATCTCCTTAAATTTGAAGTTTCTTCTCTAAACCAATTTGAAATATTGATAACCTTTGAAGTATTGTTGTCCTTAATGTTAGTAGCCTAACATTCATTTATTTGGGCATCCCCATTATTGCAATAAAAAATAAAAGTTAAGAACTTCCACTCTCTTCTTTACAAAATCAAGGGTTTGCTTTCGAATTGAAAACATAATGTCTTTCATTAGCAGTGAGATTTCAATTAATACACTCTTTCTTCAATGCTCCCATTTTCTGTCGGCTTTGATCAATTTCTCTGCCCATGTCTTCATAAAAAAGAAAATATCTTCACTTACCTATCATTTTTTCTATGACAGAGGTAAACCCGGAAAGCTGCATTCTTTATCTAGAAACTACTTTGCCCTTTGAATAGAAACATGGAGCACCAATCTTGCTCCTATTTCTTCTCTAAATTACATGAGCAAAATGAAAATTTTTTTGATGTATCCTTTTATCCAATGGGTGCTTAAGAAATAATAAAGGTTGGAGTAGCTCCAATGGAAGATAAGAATAGAGAGAGCATCTTAGATGGTTTGGTCACATAAAATGTTGGTTTTCCGATGATCTGGTTAGGAGAATAGATGTATTAGATTTGACCTATGTTAAAAAAGGTGGAGGTAGGCCTAAAAAGACAAAATATTAGAAATGACATTTTTTATTAGATTTAAATGAGAATTTGACTCATAACAAGATACAATGGAGAAAAAGGATTATTGTAGTCGACCCTACATAGTGGGATAAAAGTTTGATGTTGTCGTTGGTGGTGGTGGTGTTTAGAAAATTATGGGTCTCTATGAGGGAGATTTGCTCGTTATGTCTACCATTTTTTGTAGGATTTGATGTTTCTGGCTCCTATTATTAGAATATAGTTATCCTCCAATGTTGGAAATGGTTTATATTCTTTTCTTTATTACGACCCATGGATTGGGGGAGCTTCATTTTTCAAATGTTAAGTGCTGAGTATTTTAACATCTTCAACTTATGTCACAATGTTCTTTTATGCTCCATTTTTTAGGAGGCAAATGAGAAGTTTCATTTCCCTTGTCTTTTCAACATTTTATGCTGCAACTCTATAGCACAAATTATGGCATAGGCTGATGCAAAAACAACTAAAACATAACATATAGTTACTGCAATTAAGGGGGCACAATTTCCATCACCACCCCTACACACACGAACTACTTGTTTGGATCAGCCTATGACTGAGATAGGATACTACACATAAGAACAAATGAAGAAGAGAAATAAAACGATTATGAATATTAATTAAATTAAACTAGATGGAAATCAATTCAATAGTTTGGTTTATTACAAGTACAATCTGCAATCAATCAATATCCTTAAGAAACTTCCCATACAAATTTAAACAAATTTAATTCAATCAAACTTCAATCATCCCAGCAAAGAATTTATGGAAAAGAGAATAGTGGGAGTGCCCAAGGTTTTAAATAAGCTTATTCAAAACCGTGGCAAACATGGAACATCCCATAGATAAATTAGCTAGATAAAAATTAATTGAAAACTTAAGAGCATTGATAAAAGAGAAGCGCAATTACAAAAACATCAAAAGAAAGAGAGAGAGAGAGAGAGAGAGAGAGAGAGAGAGAGAGAGAGAGAGAGGACTCATGAACTAGGTATATAATTAAAATTAATGAATAATTGATAAGATTTTAAGAAAGAAATGCTCACACGATATATTATTAAAACAAAACCATTCACAAGAACCCCAACAAATAATTAGAGAAGCATAATCGCCAAGCTGCCAGTCATTCAAACCATTTCACATTACAGATTGCAACCACATCTCTCATTCGAATTCGTCAAAAAACAAAACAAAATAAGTTTTAAAACAAGATTCAATCAATAACACCATAGAATGTACAGAAAAAAATGCCAATAATACAAAATGAGCAGGCCCAGCGAACAATATCAAATAACTAATTCAAAACCTAACAAAAAGAACTCACAACTCCATTTGCCGTGTGGGTTGTGACGGTGAACTTCTGTGTTAATGAATAAGGCCACGTCAGCAATTCTTTGTACCTTCTTGAATAAGTTTTATTATAAATACTGTTGTATTAGTTTGTAATAGATATACAATAGAATTTTACTTTCTCTGTTTTTACCGCTGTTGCTTCGTTCTTCTTTCTCCCTGTTCTTCCCATCTCGGGTTCAAGAACTCATCATTCTGATCCGTCTGGAAATCTCTGAAAAGAAGATCTGACGGAGGAAAGAAATGAAGCAATGAAATATTTTAAAACTCGAATAAGATATTTTAGAAAGAAAATTAAAACAAAATACAAAAACAACATGACGACCTCTGGCCATCTTGCCGATGTCGGAGTAGAGACCTGGACCCATAATCCCACGACCAAGATCTCGAGCTCTATAGAGATAGAGAGAAAAAAGAGAGGGAAGGAACAGACCGAAATATTTATAGCAAGGGCCGAAGTCGGGCAAATTATTGGGTCAGGTGACCGGAGCCAAAAGATAAGTTCGGACAGCCAATAAAAATTTGCCGTGTCACCTTGCGCTTTAGTTGCGCTTTTTGACTTGCGTTAAGCGCCGGGGCAATAGTCCCACGCAAATCATAGGACAAATTTTTTTGAAAGAATAACGGTTAAAGATTAATTTAAGAGGAGAAGTATGATTTAAAAAATTTTAAAAAGGATCATTTTCCATTAAAAAAAATGGAAAACACTAAAAACTTTGCGTTTTTCTTTAAAAAAACTTTTTTTTTTTTTTTTTTGCTTTTTTCAGCCGCGGAGAGAGAGAGAGGCAGTAGAGGGAAACGGGGAGAGAGAAAAAAGATAGAGAGGCGGCATAGAGTGGTGGAAGAGAGAGAATTTAATCATTTAATTTTAAATATTTTTAAATTATATTTTAAGAAATTTAATCAAATTTTAATTATTTTTAATTTTTTACTTAACTTTATATTTAAAATAAAATTCAAACGTTAATTAAAACTTAAATTTAATTAAAATTTTAAATTTTAAAATATTTAAAGTTAAATGATTAAATTCTCTCTCTTTGGCCTCGCTCTCTATCATCTCTCTTCATTTCTATCTCTTCATGTTTCTCTCTCCTTTTCTCTCTCACGCTTGCATTTTAGGAAAACACAAAAAAAAAAATTGCATTTTCTTTTTTTTTTTTTTTTTACGGAAACGCAAAATCTTTTTGCATGTATGATCCTTTATAAATTTTTTTAATCATGTTTATTCGACTAAATTAATCTAAAAGGGTGATCTTTTCTAAAATTTGTCCCAAATCCTACGTTTACATCAAGAGTTCGACATTGTCAAATCTGGAATGCAACTACAATCGATATTGGAGAATGATTTGGGTGTCGCAATTTCATGTTGATATGGGTGTCAGGTATTTTTTTTTTTTTTTTTTTGACATTTATTGATTTTTTAATGTAATATTCAATCTAAGGCTAAGGATAACAAAGATGGTTGGAAGTTTGAATAATTTTATTAAAAAGACTTTTAATGTATTATTTTTTTAATTCAATGTAATACATAAATACTTAGTTGACATTTACATTGAAATTAATTCTCTGAATTGTTTATTTAATGATTGGGGATTTCTTTGAATTAATGATTGGGCATTTCATAGAAAATGTAAGTAGTGTGTTAATTAATGGGAAAATCATAATGTATAATAAGATAATCTTAAGATAAGATTGGTCAGTCAAACAAAAATTTTGTTTGGAGAAATTTTTTATTTTATAGATAGTGAGAAGTAGTATTTAAAGTCAAGAATTACAAATGATAAATTTTAAATTTAGCAATCGTTAAAAACATAATTACCGAATTAACCATCAAGCTAGTATTATAATGGCATTGGATCCCTTTTGTTGTTATAACAAGTAGATTATGGTGAACTCCGATGGAAGAGAAGTTGATTTGGATTATGCTAGCAGTGTCAGATAGTATATTATGAAGGTATTAATGTGATATTAATACTGACATGAACTTGTCTGCATAGGTAATATGTGTAGTTGTAATGTCTAATTAATTTTTGCATGGTCACATGCATGCGTTTGAGAAGTTAATTCATGAAATGCTCTGCATAATCAAATTTAAAATTGTCCTTCGAATGTGTTGGACATAAAAGTTTTATTGTATACGAGAGTTGTCTTCCATTCGCGGTAAACATTCAGGTAAAGTCCTACAATTAGTTTTGTTTTGTTGGAGTGCTGCTTTGCCTTTTTGGCACATTATCATTTTCCATTTTATTACATAATGCATTAGTCGAGTAATGAGAAGACTCGCAATATTCCCACCAAATAGTTGTTGGATATTGCTAGCAAACGAGTGCATGATTGCATGGCTAGTTGTGCTGATAGTTTGATAGAACAGAGAGCAATAGCTAATGAAATATTCAGATGTTGCATACATGCATACATGAATCGAAGACAGGGATCATATGCAAAAGTATTTGTATGATGAAGCGATGAAGTTAGAGTCTAATAGGAATGAGAAATTCTTACATTCTTAAGGGTGGAAGTACGCGGAGGAAAAATTTCTTGAGCGTAATGGTCATCTCGTTGGTGCACATTTCCTTCACATGTGTTATTGTGAGTAGGCTGTTAAAAATTGACACGCACGATAACTTTTCCATACCCGACTTGAAATTTTTTGGGCTAGACCCAACCCGATTTAGAAATACGTCGGGTTTGAGATAACCTGAGAACTTGATATTGACCCGAATTGACCCGCACAATCTAATTAGGGCTAGCGAAAAGTCACTATCTCGAGACTTCGGCTATTATTTAGTCCTTATTATGCACCGTGTGCTCTCCACTCTCCTCTCCTCTCCTTCTCTTCTTCATGACTTCATCTAGGGTTTTCTCTCCTTGGATCTCCTCGTACCTCTGGTATGTCTATGGTTTCCTCTCATCTTTTTTCTCTAGCATACTCTTGGTCCGATGTGTTCACCGTGCACATCTCCTCAGCCTCAAGAAAACACTTACACCAATGTTTGTATCTCATTTATATTTTTAACTTTTAGAAGCTTCACCTATGAGAATATATGGGTAATAAAAATCGTTTAAAGGATTTTGATAGTTCATCATGTTTATTTTTCACGCTTACTTCTGATATCAGAAGGAATGTTTTATTTAGGGGGTTTTCTGATTTATTGTTATTCTCTTGAATCTTATCTCAGTTTGTCTCAAATAAGTATAAAATACATTAGCTAGTTAGGATATCTTTCATTTCTCTATTTTCTTGTTGTGCTAATTGTTGTAATCGGCCGTCATTTGTATTCTCCTAGAATGAGCATATACTATCTAATAGAATGAATAGATACTAAGTCTATACAAATTCCTACCTTGGATGGTTATATACTAATATTTAGTACAGTTATAATTCATTATGTGATTAATAATTTGGAGTGTTTAATTTGAGCTATATATTGAAGTTCTATGTCTATTTAACAAACTTTTTTGCAATAAAATCTTTATGAAGCTTGAAGACACATTCCTAAAGCAATTTTTTAGTGTAGCAATTGAGCAAATCAGTCAAGTGTACTTTTTATTTTATAAATTGTATTTGTATTTATTGTAAACTCTTTCGTAATTTGTATTCTTCTATAAATTGATTTGTAATTCAACAATTGGTTTATAGTTTATAAATTAATTTGTAAACATTTTATAAAAGAGCAAAATAGCTTGTTGTTTGTATTTTATTTTAATTTTACTTGCTCAACATATTGCCTTCTATTTATATGTTGTTTGTTTTTCCCTACTCAACATAAACATCAACGGATTTGTTTTTATTGTAACATGATATTCATTGTTATATGTAAATGCGCAACATATTACCTGTTATTCATTTATTCAAACTCGGGTTGGCAGTCATATCGGGTTAACCTGGGTCCGAAGCAGTTAGGTTCGGGTTCGAGAAAGTCACTCATTTTAAAAAATAGGTCGAGTTTGAATCAGGACAGTTTTAGGTTGGACTCGAACCCAACTTGTAACCTAATTTTGACAGCCCTAATAGTGAGGCACGATGTGCAAGGGAAGGTGGGATGTTGTCCATCATTTAATGACTAATAATTGACGATGGACATTTGATTCTTTATCATCCTTAGGCTTCATTTGAAGAAGAATTTATTATTTTTATTTCTGCTTGTGCTTTTATGATTAGTGTTTATTATTGTTACTTTCATTTGCATGGATTAGAAGAATACTAGCAAAATTCCCTTTACTTTGTATTGTAAACCTAACTCTTATAAATATCATGGTTTTGAAAATTGAACAAGGCCGATTAGTTCAACCGTGAACCAATTATATGGCAGGGTTGGTCCTCATAAAAAACTGGTCTAATATCAAATCGGTTTGAACCGCCAGTTCAATCGGCCAATAATTGAACTAGTCCCAATTTTTAAGAACATGCTAATTCAATTCAAAATCTATATAAATAATTTAATTTAATATAAAATCTTTTATTAAATATTAAATTAATTTAAAATTGACAAAATTTGTTTAATAATATAAAAAACTTTTATGATAATTATGTATCAATTAAGCACTAGTAAATCATTCCCACATGATCCCATCACCTCATGTGAGCTGTTACCTCATTAGAATAGAAAAGCTATAGAAATAACACAAGACAAAGTTTTCAAGTGATGTGAGACTAAGGGTGCAACTGAGTAAAGCCCACTCATGATCTAGCTCAAGCTCGACTCGTTAACAAGCTTGTGATTCAAGCTTATCACAAACTTGAGTAGAATTTTTAGCTCATTAGATTATCGAGCTCAAGTTTGATCCTAAGGAAGCTTAGCTCGATTACTCATTGAGTGCCTATAGGTGCGGATGCTGATTCGAGAGATTACGATGTGGAATAATTTTAAATACTTATAAATCTAAAATTTAGTAAAATTTGAACTAAAGAATATGGTTCATTGTATGCCATGTTATCTACTTTAACCAACCTTTAATAAATCATTAAATAAATCAAAAGTCTTTATATATTATATTTGATTTCTTCTCGAGAGTATACATGTATTGAAATTATAAGGCTTTTCTCTTAAATCATCTAATAAACCATTAATAAATCTTAAGGACTTTATGCAACAAATCTATCCTATATTGAGGAATGGTAACATTATAATTATGAGCAATATGACTTATTGGTTAGTAACATCCATACTTCAAAGTCACTATCTTACATGGCTCTTTAAAATTAAATAATTATCTCCAATATTTTAAACACAAATAACAAAACACCAAACATTAAGACTTAAACTCAACCTAAAAATCCCTTTTGTCCTTTAATGAATAAATAACTATTGATGGTTTATTAGGATAATTGATTCTAGACCAGCACACAAGCCATCGACAAGGATTGAGGGGCCAG